TAAAATAAAATGATGTTTATTATTGGCCCTACTACCATCTAGTTGTGTGACTCCAGGCAAGTGCCTTAACCCCACTACTCCTCAGTTTTCTTTCTGTGGCGGGCATAATAATGACCCTCCAAAATGTCCATGACCTCGTCTCAGGAAGCTGTGAATATGGGATGGGGAATTCAGGTTGCTAATAAGCTGATCTTGAGATGGAGAAATTAACCTGGGTTATCCAGGTGGACCCAATGTAATCACAAAAAGTCCTTAAAAGTAGAAGAGGTGAGCAGAATAGGTCAGAGTGATGAGATTTGAGAAAGACCTGACCAGCCATTGCTGGCTTTGAAAATAGAGGCAAGGGGCCATAAGGCAAGGGATTGTGGGGAACCCCTAGAAGCTAGAAAAAGTAAGAAAATGATTCTTCCCTAGAACCTCTAGAAAGGAAGGCATCTTGAAATTAGCCCAGTGAGACCCATTTTGGACCTCTGGCCTCCAGAATTATAAAATAATAAATTTCTGTTGTTTTAAAAAGGTAATCAAGTTTATGTATTTTTCAATAAGAAAATAAAAACAAAAAATTAAACCCTTTTATAGTTCTCCACAACAAGATGAGGTTCAAATGCCTCAGCATGGCCTACGAAGCTCTCCTTAATTTGGCCCTATCTCCAACCTAATTTTTTCACAGTCCCTTCCTCCACCCGCTGCCAGCTCAGGCTATAACGAACATCCGCTGTTCTCTGAGCAACTCTGCTATTTACTGCCTGTCCCCATGCCTTTATTCACTTTACTCTGTCTAGAAAGAATGCGTTTCCTCTTGTAGTGCTCCAGTTAGCAACACTTAACCCAGCTCAAGTGCCCTCTCTTCCATGAGGCTTTTCCTGACCTCCCTCTTTACCCTCCATGATTACAAGAAGGAGACTCGGAACTCCCTGCAGCAAGATGCAGTCCTTTTATACGTCCCACTGCCTTCTGGATTGCCCTTCCTGGGCAGGAATCTTCCCTTCCCCAGGTCTTCATCCCAGGCATTTAAAAACATACCTGGCACATGGTGGGCCTACCACTATCAGTTAAGTTAATTAAAAACCTATACAATCTGTCAATAATCTTTCTAACCTTATTTTCTACTGCTCTACAGCATGAGTCCTCTGGTCTACTGGCTAGTCCCCAAATCTGTGTAAGAATTATAAACTCCCTTTCTTCCTAACCTGAAAACCTGTTCCCACGTCTTTCTCAATGTGTATCCATCCAAGTCCTACTTCCTTTTAAGAAATCATTCTTGACCTCCTTTTCCTTTTAACTTCTATGGCATGAATCTTTATATCCCCCACAACTCCTACTATAATACTAGATACATAAAAGGTATGTAACCTAAAATGATTTCAGTATAAATACAATTATTTGAAAAAAAGCTTCGCATTAAAAATGATTAAACACAAATTCATCAAAATGTTAAGTAAATGGTGGTTTGGATTTTTCTTCTCCATTTTCCTTAATGAGTAGATTTAAAATTTTTCATTATAAAAGTATTAGAAAACCTATATGCCCATTTGATAAATTACCTTGTTTCCACCATACTGAAAAAGTGTTAAATGGAAAAACTTCAAGGATGCTACCACCAAACCACACACATACAAAATGAGAGGCAGTGTACAGTAGTAAAGGGCCTAGTTTCCGGAGCCACACTGCTTCAGGTTAAACATCAGTTTGCCACTTCTTAGCTGTTTAACCTTGAGCGAAGTCTTGATTTTTTGTGCTTCAGTGTCCTCATTTTTATATATATCTATAGATATAGATATAGATATATCATAGAGTCATTGTGAAAATAAAAGTAATCCATGTGAAGTGCTCAGAATATTTGGCTTATAGCAACACTCAGATGTTAGCTACTGGCAGCTACAGTTGAAAATGGAATGGCTGTTAAAATCCCTGTACTTGCAAACCAGAGAGCTGATATTCAAAATTAAATGATAGTCACTGCATTTGGGTGACATATTTTAATAAGTGGAACTTGTCAATTAAGCATCTTAGGATATATCTGTACTGCATGCTATTCAAACTGCACTGAACTTGGCCCCATATTTAATTACATGCAGATCTCTGTTCCACACATGAACATGGTCTCAAAATCTAATAGAAACCAAGAGTTTCAAACCCAAAAGGTATCAACTCTGTTTCTCTAAATGTCTGGGATTACTTTCTAAAATAGGTTTTTCAGGTCAAATGTTCCCCAGAAGCCTAAAGACAGAATTGGAGATGGGGAATTAGACAACTTGCAGTTATGTTTTGGCTTTATTACAAATTCAACCAGCTGCCTTTCAGTCAGTCAAATTTTGAGACATTTGTTCCCGCAAACATAAACAAGGAAGAACTGCTTGCTTTCTTATTTCCTAGGTACTTTAAGAAGCACAGAAGCTCACAGATCTGAGTTTATACCAAAGCAGACATTGATAGCCAGTGCTACTGGGCTGCCCTTCTCATGATAAATTGTAAAATGCCTACCATATCTCCTTCTTCTTCCCATCTGCCTTCTCCTCTTTATTCCCATTAACCTGTAGTTAGTTCCTAATCATATGGACTTTTAGTATGAATCAAATTAGATTATAAAGAAAAGGTACCAAAACAGTATCATCACATAGTAAAGTACTGTTAAGTACATGTGATGGTTAATTTTATATATCAAGTTGATTGGGCCGTTGAGTGCCCAAATATTTGGTGAAACATTATTCTGAGTGTTTCTGTGAGGGTGTTTTTGGATGAGATTAACACTTAAATCAGTAGACTGGGTAAAGCAGATTGCCCTCCCTAATGTGGGTGGGCCTCATCCAATCAGTTGAAGGTCTAAATAGAACAAAAGGCTGACCCTTTGCTGAGTAAGCGAGAATTCTCCTGCCTCATGGCCTTCAAACTGGGGTATCAGCTTCTTTCAGCCTGTGAGCCTGTGGGACATCAGCTCTGCAGATTTTGGACTTGCCAGCTTCCATTATAGCACAAGCCAATTCCTTTCCCTGAATAACTCTAACATAGAGGAATACCATTATTATACTGAAACTCTGGAGATAAAATTTAAGAGAATTATTCAGATTATGCTTGAAAGTCAAAGAGAAGGTAGGGTTTTCCTAACAACGAAGGTCATATTGTAGCTATATTCTCAAGTCTCTGGTATTTATGGTGGAATCAAAAATACATGTATAGTTTTTTCCAACACACCTCATTTTCTATTGGCTTCCTGTCTATTCCAACTTGCAGCTTTAGAGGTTATTTGGCTTTAATAAACGAGTCACTTATATAGCTGAGAACTCTTCCTATGCATAGTGAATCAAGAGGGGTGAAGGGGAAACTGGCACCGAGGTTTGTTTCCTTGGGCAATCTGGTCACTGGATTTTATAAAATACTGTGGAGATTTTTACATCTTCTAACCAAGGGCCTTAGATCATGTCAAAAGCAAGCCACTGCTTATAGAAGGATGACAGGCAGGAAAGTCTCATGTTAGATGGGACCGTATCCTGAGGACAGAAGACAGACCACCTAAAGAAAAGAGCTAAATCTGGAGACAACAGGAAGAAATGAGGAACCCAAACATACCTTAGCAATAACTAGTTAAAGTGAATTGCAGTAATTTTGGCTCATTGGTAGTAACAAAAGAGCAAACCATCGCTTACTGCTGAGGGGCCTTCCTTAGCCCGTGGTCTCTTTTTCTTTGCTTGTTTGGTCCCTTAGCTATTCTGCCTAGATTAGAAAGCCAGGGTAGTCACAATGCCACAGCTGTTCTCAGCCCTTCCTTGGGTCTCTTAGAATACTCTATAGAGAATGCTGATGTTTTCCTTTGGGCCAAAGACCAGCTGAGTGGTTGGAGGGGCATCTTGTCTTTAATATAGAAACTGCTCTAGGAAAGGGGCTTCAACAATATCCATGTTCCAAACAATTTTACCCAAGAGGTGGCATCCAAATGATAGGATCTAATTAATTTTAGTGTAATCACATTTGGATTCCTGTAAATATTTTCCTCTTTGTTTTCCCTTTTCTTTATGAATAGGGACCCAGAGATAAATTAGTTATATTTCAATTTCTTCTTTAATTAGCTTTAGGCTTATAATGTTCACCAACTGGGAGAGAAAAATCCAGAAGGGCTGGCAGGCCAGCCTCTAGCAATGCTTGAAAAGGCAGGTATATCCTCAGTCAGCAAATTCAATTTTTTAAAATGGTCACATTTCCCAGCAGTATTTGGGATGTTACATCAAGTACTGAATTGGTACTAGGCAACTGGTATGAGTAAATAATAAATAAACAGAATAACATTTACCTTCATTTTTTTTTAAAGGGGTTATGAGTCATTTTCTATTTTTTTCTTTCTTTTTTTGTTTTTTAAAGACTCTTTATTGGGGAATTAGGGAAGGGGAACAGCCAAGTTGTTGTCCTTCAGTCTCAGTTGTGGAGGGCGCAGCTAGCTCAGCTCCAAGTCAAGTTGCCATCTGACTGCCCGTCAGCAGTTTGCGGCCACTCAGCTCAAGGTGCCGTGTTCAATCTTAGTTGGGAGTGTGTGTGTGGGGGGTGGGCGCAGTCCACCATCCCATGTGGGAGTGAACCAAAAACCTTGTTGCTAAGAGCACATGCTCTAACAAATGAGCCATCTGGCCGCCCAATGGCAGCTCAGGGCAGCTCAGCTCAAGATGCCGTGTTCAATCTTAGTTGCGGGTGGGTGCAGCCCACCATCCCATGTGGGAGTTGAATCAGCAACCTTGTTGTTAGGAGCCTGTGCTCTCATCAGCTACCACCTATTGGCAGCTTAGCAGCAGCTCAGGTCAGGCGCAGCTCACTGGTCCACGTGGGAATTGAACTGGCAACCCTGTTGCTCAGAGCTCGCGCTCTTAACCAACTGAGCCTCTCGGCCAGCCCCTACCTTCATTTTTAAAGAAAGTATTTAAAAAATAAAGTCTCCACTTCCATAATACTCTTGAACAATCAACATAAACTAACACTTTAACAAACTCACATTAAAGTCCAATAACTACTATGAATACAAGACTATTTTCCATTTATTTGTGATTTTGCAGGGGTTCAGACCAGTGAATAAAAATCAATTTTCTTCTTACATAAAAGGAATTTGTTACTTCACTACTATCTTCAGAATCATTGTAAGAAAAACACTACCTGAAAAGGGTAATACAAAAGAGAACTTCAAGGTCTCAAAAGGCTGTGCAAAAATTATAACTATTATAACTGGCATTAAAAACAAACGAACAAACAAACAAACAAATCAACCAACCAATCACTGAAGGTTTGGCTCCCATTCTCTTTCTAATATTTGGCCTCTAATCTCTCTCTTAGGATAGCGATTTTCAAAGTTGGGTGTACATCAGAATCATCTGGAGAACTAAGAGAGCTGACAGAAGCGGAGGCCTGGGTCTCTGCATCTTTACTGAGTTCTCCAGCAATGGTTTCCAAACCAGGCTTATCAGAATCATCTGGGAAGCTTTGAAGAACAACGAATTCCCAGGCTTCACCCTGATTCAGTAGGTGTGAGGTTGGGACCCAGAAATCTTAAAATATTTAAAAATTTTTTAACAAACTTCTCAGGTGGTTCTGACCAGTCAGACTTGGGAACCACTATTTAGGATACTTATTTAGATAAGTGTCTCTCAAAGAACTCCAGGCCTCTGAGTTCACTAAGAATATTCATAACTTTGGGTAGGTTATATAATCACCATCCTATGAGAATTTAACAAATTAAAATGTCTAGAAGTGATTTGATCCTAAAAACCATACCCAACTTAGCACTTATATTACCTAATGATTTTCTGTCTATCTAGTCCCACCCCCAGCAAAGATCTGTACATAATATTTGTTTCCTATGGCTGTTAAGTGCTACCTACCCAGATTGCTCATAAGAAGTTACCCCACAGGATTTCGTTTTATTAACCTCTCCCTCTTCTTCCATTCAGATTCCCAGAGCTAAGAGGAACAGACAACTGGACACCACCACCAGCTGATGTCACCTGCAGCATTATGCATCAAGACATCAATCCAGAAACCTGTGGACCCCACCTCTACCCCACTGGTAGGGAGACACTTAGAAAACCCTAATGTGAGATTAATTTCTTTGAGGAAAGAAATGCTCTCACCACACAAGACAGATAGTTTAAAAGCTTGACTGTTCTTGAAGCCTACACAAAAGAAAGCTAATTATGACTTTAGAAACTTCAAAAATACAGTGACTTTGGGGTCACCTCCAGGGGCCTCAAACTCAAAGACATCCAGCCCTACTCCTTCTGTATCTTAGGATTGGGTGTTTAAATTCAAAGTCCAACACAGAAAGAATCCGAAAGCCATGACCAACAAGGAATCTGGGAAATGACCTTGGACTTCATTTGCCTCTCTACTGAAGTCATATCAGATTGAGATATCAACATATATCAGATGGAAAAATAAGCTCAAAAGCAGGTGAGAATTACGATCCTTAAAACACAGATACTGATGTCTAATCCTTCCCACAAAATCCCGGGTCACAAATTGAACAATGAGATGATCTTTCTTAACAGAGAGCACTAACTGGACTACGTGAGCCAGCAGTGAGTGAGAACCAAGTTGCAGGAGATGCAGAAATGCACGTGGGTCCCAGATGTCTTTTCTTAGTGATGATGGCCCTCCTTACTGGATAGTCGGCAGGAGACAGTTCCAATGTACTTAATCAAAATGACTGGGTGGGCAACCAAAGGGAAGAGATGGAAAGACCTCTTAGGACGGGGAGGAAAAACGAGAAACGCTACTAGCAGCAGGCCCAGCTGGAGGAGGGCTTGGTTTGTAGGTTGATGTAGTTCCCTTGGGTGGTCGAAGACATATCTTCTCTGGAATTGCTCATCATCTTTTCAATAAGGACTCTACAAAACAAATTTTAAAAAAGGCTGAGCAGCTGGATGGAGGAAAGGGAGAAACAGCAGACATTGTCTGTCTTATCACCAGATGGCCACAAGGTGTAAATGTCCGCTTTCCCCCAGTTATCTCAAGAGACAAGACAGCATCCTGACCTTCAGAAGCTGGCATTCCAGTGGCTCAGTCTGTTCTTGTTTGCTCAGAAACAAGAAAAGAAGGTCCAAGGGGCCGCAGTGGAAGATGAGTACATCTGTGTGCCCATCCCCAGAACAGCATGAGGTACTCACCTCATGGCCTCATTAATATTTTTGTTCTCCTTGACTGATGTTTCTGTCCAACCCATGAAACCGTTCTCTTTACTGAACCGGTCAACCTGGTCTCGGCTCACTGCCCAAGGGGACAGATCACACTGGCAAAGAGAGGAAATAGAAGGCAACATCATGACTTTCCTGGGACTAGGAACACTGCTCAGATCCCTGTGGATTTAAACCCTTTCCATCAATGGCTAAGAGCAGGAGCATCTAAAATCTACAGTCAATATTCTTCCCATAGAGGTCTCAGCATTCCTTGAAAGGATATAGGGATGATTTTGCCAACTTGAGAAGGGAAACTGGACGCCAAGAATCAGAGAGCACTTTATTTATTTTATTTTTTTTAATTTTTAAGCTGAGCCATCCTGCCACCTGTTGGCAGCTCAGCGGCTGCTCAGCTCAGGCCGGGAATCGAACCGCTGTTGCTCAGAGCTCAAACTCTTGAGCGAGCTCTTAACCAACTGAGCCACTTGGCCGGCCCCCTTTAGATACACTTACTCTCTGAACACAGAGTGAGACCAGGGGACATTTTCCTAGACTGACCACGTACCTTGTTGGCCAAGAGCAGGCAGGGCACGGGCTCTCCATTGGGCAGTGTGAGCTTGCTGTCTAGGTCCTGTTTCCATCTCTGGCTGTTGCTGAAGGTAGTGGCATTGGTAACATCAAACATAATAACACAGGCAGAGGCATCTCGATAGTACAGTCGTGTCATAGATGTGAAGCGCTCCTGCCCTGGGAATAGAGGAGAGTTCTTGAGAAGGTGATCCTGAGAACCAGTCCTAGAAGGCCCTCTGACATCCTGTTCTTTCTACCTTCGTTGTGAGAGAGAGGGCAGTATGCATAGTGGTTGAGTCCAGATTCTGTACCCAGATTTCCCAAGTACAAATCCCTTCTCTGTCCTTTACTATCCATGTGACTTTGGACAAGTCAATCTTTCAAGTGCCTCAAATTTCCCATCTGTAAAGTGGGGACAAAAGCAGTAGCTCTATCACAGGGTTGAAGATGAATGAGTCAGTGACTCTAAGGCTTAGAAAAGTGCTTGGCACATAATAAGGCTTAGCTATAATTATTATTATTATTGTCTTTATTTTCTGAGGATCTTGTTTCTCACCAAGGTTGGCTGAAAACCTGGAAAAGGCACCTCCCCCTGCTGTGGGAGCACCCACTTATGGTCTGGACAATCCAATCCACCACCCTGGCAGCTCCTCCACCTGTATAGAGACTACTCTACATTTATTCAAGGCAAAACATCTGCAGAAAACATCTACAAAAGCTCTATGTCATTCTCAGAGCACTTCAATCATTCCAGCTTTAGAAAAAAACTTCTGGTTTTGCTGCCCCACTTTTTCTCTGGGAGCTTGCTGATAAACCAAAGTGTCTCCCCTTGTTCCTACTGAGTCGTCCTAGCCTACCTGCAATATCCCACAGCTGGAGCCGCACCATCTCTGAGTCAGACCACTGGAGAACCTTCAGAGCGAAATCCACTGAAAATATATGCATAATATAGTTGAATAAAACTTACCTTTAAACAATCCACAGAAAAACTCACATCAAATATGCAGTCACAACACTAGGGACACACAACTCCTATTTATTCTTTCATTCATTTAATTTTTAAGTCCTTAATAAGCTGAGATGAGCCCACTCTCATGTATTAAGTATGGGGCAGATCATTCATACTCACTCTCCAAAGGGGGTCTTTAGCTTTTACTCTTGTGTAAAACCAATGTATTTGATACTACTTGTCTCCAAGGCTGGGGATAGGAGGGTGGGGGTAATTATGAAAAAACTCCTAATCTCAGGTTAAACAGCTTCTGGGAGATTTAGGGGGTTTTCTCTGGGAAGGGATAATGGGGTAGAAGGGGGAAATGAGGTAAATGTGAGGGCTTTTGCCTCTTCCACATTCAATTTCACTCTTGGTTTCTAATCTAATTGCGTTATGATAAAACACACCCTTGGGGGAATTCTACATCCTCCATAAGACTTTGGGAATTATCTTGGGCAGGAATGGGATAAAGTTAGAAGGTCCCAGAGGACTGCCAGGAAGAAGACATGGTGTGGCCGATGCTTAAAAGCTGTGCTGGAACCCACTGCCACATATGCAGATGCTGAGACCCCATGAGCATGTCAGGGGAAGAATTTTCTGGTAAGGAGACAAACAGGGTAATTTTTGAGTTTTGGAAATATGTTTTTCCTCAGCTGTGACAGAAATGAAAACTAGGGGAAATTTAGAATAAACACGGATAAAAAAGATAGCCAGAGTTAATTATGTTCTTTACTAAAGGAGAACTACAGAAATTGCTAAAAATTAATTAGTGGGACACTTTTAAGCCAATTTCATGCAATAGGGACCCTCATATTATTTAGGAGTGGGGAGTAAAGTGGTCAAGAAACAGTCTTTGAAACTTTAAACTCTTAATTTTGCTGGATGTTCTTAAGGAGGAGGTTTTAATTGCAACATGAATGCTTGTTAACTTTTTAGGATTCCATAATGAATATCAGCACACATTTTCAAAATTTACATGGGTGCAAGTTTTTTCTTTTTAAAAAAGTTATTTTGACGGAGATAAATAAATGTTTGTTACTCTCCCCCTTCACTACCTCTGCCCAGCTAAGCACGTTCTAATTAACAAAAAGGCATTTCTACTTCTGAAAAAAACAGTCCAAAGACGGCACCTGGAAAGGAATGAATTAACTCTTGGTATTCCCTCCCTTTCTCCCTTCTCCAGTTTGAGAGAAAAAGGGGTGGGGAGTTAGGTCAGAGAAGCGGTATATTTCACATTCTTCGAAGAATTCCTAGGTTACCTTTATTTAGGCAATCAATGGACAAAACCCACACTGCTCATCAGCCCTGATAAGCATCTGATTGTGTTGCCAAGGGGCTCTCCCACGGAGGCATCCCCAAAACTAAACTGGGCCAGATTAAACAACTTCCTACTCCTTCAATAGCTGCCTGGAACTCCCGTGAGAGGCAGGGCAGCAGCCCCCGCCGCTGGCGCCTCACCAGGCCCTGCACAGGGTCTCAGCTGCTTCTGCTGGTCGCAGAGATTTGTCCGTGGCCACGGCTTGGAGGGCTGCAGGAGTTCAGAGTTGCCCCGAGTTCAGAGTGTCCCCGCTAAAACGCAGCAATTGCTTATTTTCTCCCCCTCCCTTTCCCCCTTTTCCATGTCTCATCTTCACACCTTTGCCCTCTCTCTTTCCAGGCAGTTAGCTCAGGCTTGATAGACCTAACTGGAGAGGGATGCAAATCAAACACCCAGCAATTATTCCCTCCAGGATCCCAGACACCCACTTCTTGACCCGAGGAAGGACCCAAGGACACCAAATCCCCCACCCCACTGGAGTCCACAGCTCAAGTCTGTGGTCCGGGCCTCCTGTCCACCCCGTTTCGCCGCGACATCTTACCTCCCACCGTGGACTTGTAGTGTTTGCTGAAGCTGTCCTGGGAATATCTTTGCACCAGAGACGTCTTGCCCACTGCGGCGTCCCCCACCACCAGCACTTTGAACAGGTGATCCCGGCTGCCCATAGCTGGCGGGGTGGACGTTTTTTAAGGGAGGCGGGAAATGGGGGGAGTCGCTGGTTTTAACCCCGTTGGCTCCGGATCCTCTTCAAACCGAAGTTCGGCATTTTGCCCACCGCCCTTGGGAGCTGCTCTGACGAGAAAGCAAAAAGGGAAACTTTGCACTCAACTTTTACGCGCTTCCTCCCCGCGCGGCCGCAGCTTGGGTGGGGCGCAGGGTGCGAGTTCTGAGCCCCCGGTTGTTCGCACCTTCTCCCCGTCCTGGCCGGGCCCGGCTGCGGAGAAACAAGATGAAACTCCGTAGTGCCTCACCCGCCGGTACTTCCCCTGAGCGGCTCCAGCGAGCGACTAAACTCGGGACAGCTCATTTCCCGGTTGGAGTCAGAAGATGGGGGCCCTCCCTTCACTGAACAAACCAAACTCCGAAAAAGGAGCGTCTCACACCTTCAACTCCTTGGACGCAGGAGATGCTGTCTCTCTCGCCTACTCCAACGCGTCACGTGCAAGGTTGCTTGGAGCACTACATTTCCCAGATTACCTCGCGGTGAAGAGAACTAGCCGAGTGCGGTGACTCGCCCGCGATGCCTCTTGGGAAATGTAGTTTATGCAACGTTTTTGTTTTTAAAAAACCTACACAAAGTTTCAAGGCTTTCGAACTTCAGCCGTTCGGAATGTTATTTTCTTTTTTTATTATTTTTTTCTTTTTTACTTTTTTTTTAGGGTTAGAAACAGTGTTAGGGTTAGAGTTAGGGACAGAGTTTGGATTAGGGTTAGGATTAGGAAAACAGTTAGGTTTAAGGCCAGGTTCGAAATAGGGTTGAGGGCAGGTTTAGGGTTAGGGTCAGTGTCAAGTTTAGAGTGAGAAACAGGGTTAAGGTTAGGGTTAGTGTTAGGGACATGGTTAGGGTTGGTATTAAGGACACGGTTAGGACAGGATTAGGGTTACATTTGGAACTGGGTTAGGGTTATGGTTAAAACAAGGTTAGAATTCGGGTTAGAGTTAGGTACAGGGTTTGGGTTAGGGGTAGGGTGAGGGTGAGTGTTAGAGTTGAGTTAAGGCTGACTTAGGGTTATCGTTGGGTTAAGGTTAGGGACAGTGCTATGATTAGGTTTATGTACAGGTTTAAGGTTAAGATTAGAGACAGGGTTAGGGATAATTACAGTAAATTTATGGACAGGTTTAGGATTAGGGACAGTTTTAGGCTTATGGTTAGGGTTAGGGTTAGGATTAGGCTAACAATTTCAATTAGGGTTAGTTTTAGGATTTGAATTAGAGTTAGAATTAGGAACAGATAAGGGTAAAAGTTGGGTTTAGGGTTAGGGCTAGGGTTAGTGTTAGGGTTACAGACACTCTTAAAGTTAGGATTAGAAACAGGGTTAGTGACAGGATTAGGATTATATTTGGGTTAGGATTGAGGGACACGGTTCAGGTTAGGGTTAGGCACAGGCTTTGGGTTCCGGACAGGTTTAGGTTTAGCAGGAATGTTATTTTAAAATAATTCTGGAATAGAAAAGATCCTTCAGAAGCGATTTGTTCGACATGATTGTACCTGCCTAAATCAGTCCCCAGGTAGATTCCTCGTTATCTTTAAAGGTTTTTATGGAGCTAAGATTAAAAATTATTCCATAGATTCCATAAATTATTCCACTAATAAAAGCTCAAGCCTCATCCCTCAAATTCCAAGTGAAGTCCATTTGCTATTTTTTCAGTTAGGTAGACAAACCTAGGATCTGGTGAACATGATAAAAGCCAACTCATATTTCCCCCATGACCTCAATATCAGTCAAGTTCAGGGACACTGGATTCAAGGGACTGGCCCTTACAAAAACCCATGCTGTTAAGTGTTAGTTATTAACATTTAATAACTAGCCACAGCAGTAAAGATAGAAAACAAGAGACAGTTCCTCATTCTTACTTCCACAATCCAGCTACACTACTCATATATCATTTGAGTCGGAAGCCAATTGGAGTACACTGGGAGTCCTCCTCCATTTGTTGCTGCTGTTGCTCATGAATAATAATTAAACTATAGTTTTGCAAATAATTTTAACTTTTTCAGCCTGTGACTTTTCTGACCTGCCTGTCCTTTAGGTAAGAGTTAACAGAACCTGAGCATAATGGCAAGAAAAATAAGCTCTGTTTCCCATGCTTTTCTCAGGAATAGAAGAGAAAGTAGCGGAACCATGGGAAAAGAGCCCTGCTCAGGTTTTCTGATAGACTGCTGCTTACATGTGTTCTGTGAGAAAGGGAGCATGGTTCACAACTTGTTTAGCCCAAAATGTTTGTAAACCAGGTAGGGAGGTCAGGCTGGTCTACTCATCCTCCAGGATGTGTCAGACCCATTTCCAATGGTCTTTTCTCAGTTCCCATTGGCTTCGACATGGTGGACCATTCCTTGAAATTTGTCTCACATGGCTTCTGTGACACTGTACTTTCTTGTTTTCCCCCTACCTCTCTGATGATCACTCTTTTCTTTCATGGTTTCTTTCCATCCCATCCCCCTCTAAGTGAGAATTTCCTTAGGTTTGACTCTTGGTTCCTGAGCTGATCATTCTTTAAACTCTTTAGAAAATTGCCTTTGGCCTTAAATGTCTGAGTCTTAAATTTATTTATATCTTTATACAGGCACCTCCACTTGGAAGTCCTGCCACAGCCTCCCATTCACTACATCACCACAAAACAGTTCCTTTTCTCAGCTTCACTATTTCTGTCACTGACTTCACTACTTCTTCCCTCTACTTAGCCTTCAGACCTCAAGAATTTTTTCCCCCCAGCTGAGCCATCCTGCCACCTGTTGGCAGCTCAGTGGCAGCTCAGCTCAGGCTCAGCATCACAGGCCCATGTCGGAATCTAACCGGCAGCCCTGTTGCTCACAGCTTGCGCTTTTTTTGTTGTTTGTTTATTGGGGAATTGGGGGAAGTAACAGCGCTGGGGAATCAGGGAGGGGAACAGACAAGTTGCTGTCCTTTTGTTGTTTAGTCTAGTTGTGGAGGATGTTGCTTCACTAGCCCTTGTTGGTATTGTGATTATTGCGCTCTTCCCGGCTGAGGCATATAGGTCGCCAGCCCTTGGAGGGAAGCTCACGCTGGCTGCCGGCCACTCACGCTGACTGCCGGCGACTCACAGACGCTTACAGCAGCCCACTGCAGCCCACGACGACGCCGGTGACTCCAGTAGCCCAGCTCCAGGTCGAGCTGCTGTTCACCATCTTAGCTATAGAGGGCAGCATCACTGCCCCATGTGGGATCTGAACCGGTGGCCCTGCTGCATCAGAGCTCGCGCTCCCAAACCAACTCTTAACCAACGAGCCACTTGGCTGGCCCAGACCTCAAGAATTTTTTTAAAAATTTATTTTTATGTGGTAGGAACACTTAACATGAGATCTATCCTCTTAACACATTTAAAAGTGTGAAATACAATACAAAAATACAAAAGTGTACAATATAGGTACAACGTTGTACAGCAGATCTCTAGAATGTATTCATCTTGTTTAACTGAAACATGCCTGTTGATTAGTAACTCTGCATTTCCCTCTTTCTCAGCTCTTGACATCCACTATTCCACTTTCATTCTATAAATTTGGCTATTTTAGATATCTCATCTAAGTGGAATCATGCAATAATTGTCTTTCTGTGACTTGGTTGTTTCACTCAGCATTAATGTCCTTAAGGTTCATCCATGATGTTGCTTATTGCAGAATTTCCTTCTTTTTAAGCTGAATCATATCCATTGTATACATATACCAATTTTCTGTATATATCCATCCGTCGATGGACATACCTTGGCTATTGTGAATGGTGCTGCAATAAACTCAGAGGTGCTAGTATCTTCTCAAGATCCTGATTTCAATTTCTCTTAGATAAATAAATATTCAGAAGTGGGATTGTTGGATCATACGGTAGTCCTGTTTTTAAGGTGTTTTTTTTTTTAAAGATTTTTTTTGGGGGGGGAATTGGGGGAAGAGGAAGACAAGTTGCTGTCATTTTGTTCTTCAGTCTAGTTGTGGAGGACGTTGCTTCACTGGCCCAACTTGGCACCATCATTGCGCTCTTCCCGGGCAAGGCAGATCAGTCGCCGGCTTCTGGACAGCCGCTCACGGTGGCTGCTGGCCGCTCATGCTGGCTGCTGGCTACACACGGTAGCTCATGGCAACCCACTGCCACAGGGGCTGCAGCCTACGCCATCGCCGGCGACCCACGGCAGCCCAGCTCCAGGTTGAGCTGTTGTTCAGCATCTTAGCTGTAGAGGGCAGTGTCACTGGCCCTCATATATGGGATCCGAACCGGGGCCCTCTGGCGTCCCAAGCCAGCTCTTAACCAAGGTGCCACTCGGCCGGCCCAACATTTCTTATTATTATTTATTCTTGAAAAACACAAAAATATAGAAAAATGTACATCTGCTTTCCTGAACTTCCTTTCTGGAACACTGACAGGATTTTTTATATTTTACTTTTGAGTGATAATTCTCAAAACAAGGAACAACACACATTGCAGGATTTCCAGGACACATAGCACAATAATAGGTGGTTTGTTGTCGTTTGCAAACACATTTCCCTTGTTTTGCACATTGTGAAGGCATAATGCTGTGCACACAGCAATTAGTCTGCTTTTTCTTATCCTCAAATTGCCTAGCAAAATGGCGTTCTGTCAGCCTAATTTCTTTTGGTGCAGACATCCTGCAACCCCTGTTATTTCCATCTTTTCTTGAAAATCCATTTAATAAGCCCTCCATAACTTTTTCCCTGAATTTCCCTTGGCTCAATTTATTGTTAGGGTTTTGAATGTTGTAACATATATGACGTCTGACAATTAAGTTCGGGAACTTTTCTAGGATGAGGTCACAAACTTAACTGTCAGACCTCGTACACGCATACATATGTATTTATACACATACATTTATATACATCTCTCTATATACACATTTACAAAGATATTGCTTGAAAAATAGATGCCCCTTGAATATCAACATGAACTCATCCACACACAATTCCTTATTGCTAATATAGGTGGAAATATACGTATCCTTCACTAAATCTATTATGGGCTTGATTTTTGCAAGCCTATCAGTCTTTGAAGATTCATCATCATTATTGGAAAAATGAAGGAAGGACCTAATTAGTTGATAGTTGATATTCTAAAAATGGTATTAAAACCAGGAGTTTGAGTCAACCAATAGGTATCCTGAAAGTTTACTCTAATGTTGGCTTGCATACCAACCCCATCCAGATTCCAACAGTTACAAATGCCTTAGGTGTTTTCTGTTCTTGCGCGTTGACCACAGCACTCACAGACGTCTGAAGCTCGATTCAAGGGCCTGAGAATATACTCGAACTCAGCAGTAGAGGAAAAGTTTTTTGAGCTCGTGGGGTAAACTAGAAAGCTGAAGTCAGGAGATGGAAATATTCATTCGGATATATCTGGCTGTTGCGGCAAAAGGGTTAGGAGTGACCCAGCACCAATAATCTCCTAAGGACTTGGGAGCTTGACTTCAAATAAAAGAGAAAGAGTTCATATCATCTCCAGA